TTTCCTTAAGTATAAAATTTGAAGAGGACGTAAGTTTGCTACCTCATAAACCCGAGATAGGATATTAATGTGCATATTTCTTATGAAATATATTAAGTCTATAAGGACATAGAAAATTAGTAGGAAAAATACACACTTATTGAAATGTTTTCTTGAGGCTCCGGAAAGAAGCTTATCCAATAGGCAGCATCTGGAGGTGACTAAAATATATGATGATTATGTTGCGCGACAGTTAGTCTTGCGATTCCGTTTAAGTAATCTTTTCCACTCGAAGAGCATTCACGAATTTCGGTCAACATTTCATATTATAGCACATCTACTGTATACCCTCCACTGAAATAAACCATTAAAATGCCCTAGAAATACCATCCACGGCATGATAAATTCGCATTGTGAGTTTAAAAGCATCATTTGTTTAGAAACGTTATCATCAAATGCTTGGAAGGAAGAGGTCGTAATTGATAGTGGATTTCCTCGGTAAGGGTAGGGTATGTAACTCCTCCTGGGTGGTTGGTGTGCTTCCTAACGGTTTGCCTGATAGTGGGTCGCGAAAAGGGTTATGCAGAAAGCTAATTTTGACCTCCATTGGCGTTATCGATAATAAAGTTGTCCATTTCGGGTTCAGGGTTAGAGTTTAGACAACAGTCAAAACTAGTGTTAGGTGCGTCATTCTTAGGACTAGGGTTTCCAGGCTTGAGCTCCAATTGAAATTTTGGGTGGAGGCTAGAGTTAGGGTTTTAGGGCTTGGCTTACAATTACAGGTACGTCCGAACTTTCCTTGAGTGCTTACAGGTTAGAGATTTTCCACTGAAGATATGCCCATGGTTGGCGTTAGGTTTGTAGCAAACTATAGTCGCCCCAAGAAGATGGCATACCACACCCTTGCCATTTCCTCTTTCCAGCCAACCGAAGGCCATGGCGACCTACTAGGTGGATTCCGCTCCAAACGTCCATCGAGACCTGCTCTTAGGACCAGGAACCCACATGGTGGTGGTAATGATGGCGGCGACTACGGTGCTTACCGATCTGGGCTGGTCGCTCAATACAATGCTGGAACCCCATCGCACCACAGGGACCTTATATTCTGCCCTACGCTTACGCCAGACTGGGACCTGTCAGTCTCATGCGACTTTCTAATATCGGGTTATTTTCAAGCCAGTAATTATGTAATATAAACTTGGGGAAATAGCACTCGTGCAAATGAATACCGACAGAGATACAGAAGACCGGGTTGACCATTTCTATCCTATTGGTCGGCGTCATCGTCAGCCAGTCATGCCCAAACTCCAGTTTGGATGGCTTGATGTTTGAACCCGGAATCCTTGGTCATTTAGCGTTAAGTTTAACACTCTATCATTGAGCCCCTGATCCACTGTTCTGTCAGCTGCTATCAGAAATAGTAATCAGTATATGAAGGCTCGTTTACCGACCAGTTTACAGGACTGCTTGTTCGGCTACCACTTGCGTCTCAATCTGCAACCCTAGCAGACAGTCGCACAGCGACTAGTAATAATGCAGGCAGAGATTCCGACGAGGATACGGGAGGGGAGAAACTCACCAGTCGTCGTCAGCCAGGCACACTCGATCCCAGGTCAGGATAACTCTGATTTTGTCAGTATTCCATCTGGAATGCAACAACACAAGCAGGTCTAGCGACCTGATCGGTGAACACTCTTTCCACGCTAATTAAGTCGGTATTCTGTCAGCAGGAGAAAACTGCCTGGAATGTGTTCATTCTCGAGGACCCCAAGGGGTAGTAAACGAAACGAGTGTACATCTGAGTACTCTGCGTGTCTGTCTTCTGTAAACGTTGGGGGGGGGGAGTGACCGAACGCTGCGTCAGCCCCGACGTAGAGAATGTTGCAAAGACCCGAGTTTGCTAGTGGAGCACAGGTGAAGAGCGACATAGATTTTATTTCGGTCAGATGAGGTATAAAAACGCCAGTCGTCTTTAATACGGAACCGGAGGTAATAGAGGTTCATATAGGTGAGGTCGGGGAACGCACAGGCGATGACGTCAAGTAACTGTATACAAAAGAAAAGCTATTGGGAATGCGCGTTTGTGCCTTGAATGGATGAGAAATAGTTGTCCTAACCCCTAATTCTAATCCCTCACTCCAACGCCTAACCCTAAGCCCTAACCCGTAATCCTAACCCTAACCCCAACCCTTGCCCTTACCTTAACCTTTGACCGTGACCCTAAACCCCAACCCTGAACCATCCAACGCGAAAGTTAGAATGAGACGGCAGGCCGGTAGTCAAGATGAACCACTGGCATTGGACCGAAAAAGGCAGAAACGGCAACAACGAAACAAGACCGTCAACAGAACACACGTCACAACTCACAGCAACACCATGCCAACGCAAATACACCAACTCAAAGTGATTAAGTAGGTCAACAATATTGTGTCCATCAGGTGTGACTACATAACCCCATCCTACCATTATTTCCTTCCCCCTGCCGTTAAACGTCTTCACATGTGGGCTATTCATAATTTTTCCTAATATTCTGTGCGGAAGTTATGCGCGACAACCCACCTTGATTCATCTGTCAGGCTTCAGTTATTCCCATGGTTGCGAACGACGGGACCTTTTGAGCGTGGAAAATACGACGAAAACCCGAACGGCCAGTGGCCATCATTCAACGCCCAACTGGCCGGTCTATTGACAGTCGAATGGGGCACCGACAATTTATGATAAAAGCCATCTCCGTTTTTTTCACCAGCTTGTGAAAAACACGCCAGGATGCTCATTTCAACAGGAGGAGGAACACGGGGAAGTTTTTTTGCAATTCATATAAGCAGAAATGTTTGCGTTCGCCTAAGATTAGGTTCTGCTTCTGTTCATTTGGGAAATGTCAGTCGGAATGACTTGCACGACGGCAAAAATAACCCTAACTACGTCAAATTTCCCACAGTCGTTAGGGGCTGGAATAAATGGACTATTCATAAAAATTCCAAAATGGACTTAATACTTTCACGTACTTACGGTAGGCTGCGTATCTGGTGAAATGGTCAACCGAAAATCTGATGAGCGAAGAAGAAGAGTCGAGCACCGGAATACTTTGTTCATTGCCCTGAGCTTTCAGACTCGTACAGGAGTTTATTATCAGAGGTAGTGGCAGCACCAGCAGAACAAGCGACAGTTATAAGGCATGTAGGCCAATCCTCGACCGACGGCGCAAGACTGGAGGTGAATACGCAGGGCTCGGTACGCCGGCGCTAGATCGATAAATCGATTGACCGAGTTCTTATCCGAGGCCTAGGCTTCAATCAATTCTCGGCCCGTTTTGATTCCAGCGTAGGTGACTATTTTGGTGACTGCGAAGTTAAACACGTGACCCATTTCGTAGGTGTGGACGGCCACTTGTGATAATGCGTCGCCTCGTCGCACAGCCAGCTTATGTTCGTATATGTGCGATCCGAGCATGCGCCCAGTCTGCCCTGTGTAGTTCCAAGGACAATTTTGACACGGAATGCGATACACTGATAAGCATTTTGATTTAAGAAGGAATACTTGGATGGGTTTGTAATACTGATTGTCTTGCACTACGACACCAAACGTATTTAACTTACAAAAGGATGCTAGCACTTGAGGGCGCTTAATTTTTTAGCCGTCCGCAGCAACCATACTCGGTAAGAAGTCCCCACGTAAATGGCGCGAATTGTTCCTTGGACTTTTGATGCTCTTATAAGCTTCAATATATTTTTCGCAAACCGTGCACCAAAGGATACTCACTTTGCACTCGTGTGGAATAAGACAGCGTCATCCTCAAATTTCATACTCAAGAAAACGGCCTTTTTAAACTTGAAGAAAAGTAATTGTAAGCTTTTTAAGATCACGAAATGCAGCTGTTCGCTTATTAACGCTCCTTGTGAGGTATATTGTGTGGTGGACAGTTATTGTAGTTTTGTGAGCTTTACGTGGTGTCGCTTTAATAGCACAAGCAAATGTAAAATTGCCCACAGATGTAAAATGCACGGTCAGCAGTTTGAAAATCCTCAAAGCAATTGCTACAGCAGGTCGAATTTAAAATCATTCGAGATCTGATTATTTTAGGCCTAAAAGTTATCCTTCCCTCGATTATGAGATTTGAGGAAGACGTACTTTAACTCCCATGAGTATAGAAAAGGATATTTTTGCTTACCTTTTATATGAATTATATGTAAGTGTATAGGGGCGTAGGAATTCGGGGAAAATGCATACTAATAAAGCGGTCATTTTTGGCTAGTGTGGTCTTTTTAGATGGCCGGAACGAAGCGCATTCAAAAGCCTGCTCCTTATTGTGTCTGAAATATCTTGGCATCACGCTCATAGATAATCAATACTACAAAATCATCTAATTATTCTTTTTCAATTGAAAAAAAAACATTTCAGAATTTGGGTGGAGATTTCACGAGGTATACCACCTACGTCATATCCGAAAAAGAGCATGAAGTACGAGAATTGTGAATTCTTTTATAAGGCGAAAGATCATAGTACTTTCCGATATTTTGGTAACACTGAGTAACTAAGAGAGAATATGCCTTCTACTTAAGTAGGGTTTTCCACGCTCGACGGATCGTCTTATATGACTGGAGCAGTTTGCAGTGGAAAACAGGAGACATTCAAGCATTCCGAGTCTTGAAGTTTCCCCAGAAAGCAAGTCGGAAACATGATAAAAAAATATCTGAGTGCCATTGAAAAGAAGTTAAAAATGGAGGTATAGCTTTCTCTCCTGACTGATCAAAGACGTCCTTGAAACAACTTGTCTCACATTTTCTCTGTGTCTGCGCTGGTCGCTTTTGCAAAAGGACATTTCTTCAAATCTTCAAAACCTTTTTTTCCAATAAGACGGAGCTGACGGAGGAACAAATGCAGGTTTTACGGCATGAGGCCTCATTCAACACAGCCGATGCCAAACCTGCCAACATGTAGCAGCAGTGGAATCAATACTCAGCCAGACGGGAGCGACAGACGAAACGAAGAACCTCATTCGACACCAAGTGTCCTCCCTCCTCATGGCTCACAGGCCACGCAACGTGCTTTCCAAGGTCGAGCGTGATGCACTTAAGGAACTCAGGGCCGACAACGACCTCGTTATCGTGCCTGCGGACAAGGGGCTTTCAACGGTCGTATTGGACAGGACAGAATACAATCAAAAAGCCAAAAGCTTGTTGGAGGATCGTCAGTCCTATGTCCCATGCGAATCCAACCCCATGAAAACGCTGATACGCGACATTAACGCGACGCTGTTGGCAATGGAGAACTCAGGTGCAATATCGCCAATCGACCGACGCATGGCGAGAGCACAAGAAACGGCCCTAGCCCGATTCTACGGTCTCCCAAAAGTGCACAAAGAGGGCGCTACTCTCCGGCCTATCGTATCACTAAAGGGCACTCCAACCTACGGACTGGCAAAGTGGCTGTTCCAACGCCAAAATTTTCTGACCTCCGATTCGAACACCACAGTCAGCTCGTCAACGCAATTCTTGGAGAAACTTAAAGGAGTAAGTCTCCTGCCAAGCGATATCACGGTTTCCTTTGGTGTCACGTCCCTTTTTACTTCTATCCCGCAGGACCTGGCAGTCGAGACCATCGAACTACTCCTACGAGAGAAAAACGACGAAACGGAGAGTCGCCTCCCACACGCCCAAATCATCCAGCTCCTGAAGTTCTGTCTCAAGACGTACTTTACGTTCGACGGAACAATCTACGAGCAGGTGAAGGAAACGCCAATGGGTTCGCCGATTTCGGGACTCATAGCCGAGGCGGTCCTACAACGGCTGGAGTCGCTGGTTTTCCGACACCACAGACCGAAATTTTGGGCTCGGTATGTGGATGACACCTTCGTCGTCATCGAACGGGATCAGGTGCTGACGTTCAAAGAACAACTCAACGCCGTCTTCCCGGACATTCAATTTACGATGGAGGAGGAGGAAAACAATCAGCTGGCCTTCCTGGATGTCCTCGTCTGCCGCAAAGATTGTGGTGGCCTAAAAACCAAAGTGTTCAGGAAAGCGACAAATACGACGCAAATACTGAATTTCAATAGCAACCACCCGATCAGTCACAAACGCAGTTGCGTAAGGGCGCTATAACGGCGTGTTGAGACGCACTGCAGTGAAATGGAAGAAAAAATTGCTGAACTACAATACCTCCGACTACAATACCTCCAATGGCTACCCGCGCAACTTTGTCAACCAGTGCATACGAAAAGGACACCAGAGACCAAATCCAACCGGCCCCAAATTTTGGCGGGCTCTTCCGTACGTGAAGAACGTCTCAGAAGCCGTCAGTCATCTTCTCACTCCACTTGGAGTTGGGGTTGCACACAGGCCGGAAGCAACCATTAGGCGCCAAGTCATGAGGCCAAAAGACCCGCTGCCACGGCAGGACACGTCTGGAGTCATTTACTGGATCTGGTGTATTTGCGGAAAAAGCAATTATGTCGGAGAAACTGGGAGATTACTCCGTACGCGAATTGCCGAGCACGCAGCAGCAGTGAGGCGGGGAGACGCTAACTCTCAAGTGGCGGCACACTCGACGGGACTCGGCCATATTTTCAAATTTCAAGAGGCCGAAATCCTCGCAAGGGGTGACAACCGCGTGAGCCGCGAGCTGCTCGAGTCATGGTTCTCAGGCCCGCAATCCATCAACAAGCACAATGACCTCCCGGTACCCTATAGCGTACTGCGATTTTCCCTGGGCAGGAGAATCACTCACGTGGGGAGGGCGCGGGCGAGCAATCATCATGGTGACAGTGAGCCAGTTTGCCGAGCAATCGTCACACCAGCATCCCGCACGGATGGCGAAATCGCGGCAATTAACGACTCGGACTCGGACCGACAAGCCACCGCCGCATCAATTACGGCCCCAGTGGTGATTGCGAGAACTGTTAATTGCAGTGCGCCTGCGGTCCCACGGCAGCCACGTGCTATAAATACTGCACTCCTGGTGCCACAATCACTTTTACCTGCTAATGTTTCTGATGATGGATTCGTGTAAGGATCCGAAACGTCAGGCAAATAAATTTCTTGTTCCGGTGATCGCATCTTCATCTTCTGAACTGCTACCTGGAACTCGCCTGTTCGCGTCTATCAGCGATCTCATTTCCCTTGGTACTTATGGCATATCGGAATTTTTTGCAATATTTAAAACAGAGAAGTCTCGAAACAAGAAAAATAACTAAGGCTTTAGCGCAAGGGGCAGGTTTTTAAATATTAGGAAATCTGCCCGTGATCAGTGCTTAGCGTTCGCATTTCCACAGATAACGTGTTACAGCCAGTCTCGATGATGTGATATCTGCCGATGCTTGCAACTGAATTGGCAGGAGTTTTCGATAGGTCACGAGAAAATGGGTCTTCCTATTACAGGAACTTTGATTAGGGCTAGGGTCAGTGTTAGAGTTAAAGTGAAGACAAGGAAGAGGTATCCGTTTGAAATTTAGCGAAAGGCCACTTGCAGTGCAGAGAAGGACTATTGTTCGGGAGGCATTTCTCCCGTTTTAATGTCTTCCACAGGGTTTGGCGAAAGAACGCACAAAAAATAATTGCCTACGCTTGATGCTTGAAAAGGTATATCCTTCAGCAATCCATATCTGACAAAAGAGGTATTTTTGCCGTTAAAAAGATCGTCCGAAGAGAATTTTTTTAACACCGACCGGAGATTATTTGTGCAGTCGACTATCCCCTTGTTTATAAATGGCGCTTCTAAAATATGCAACACGACTATCTATATTGGGCTGTTAATAGGTCATTAGGAGACCAAGGCATGCAGCTGATGTGGATTTTTTAGCAGAAATACTCCATGTGCAGTTTCGAAACCGTAGGAACAATTAAATACCAATCAGTTTGCCAAAAAATGTAGACACTCTTAAATTCAGAAAACTATTTAGCGAGCAGACGTTCGCGCTTGACAAATTATCATCAGGTGTTGGGTGTCTACTTAGAGGGCAAACGGTGCAGGCGTGTTTGGCCATAACATGCAAGTGGTGATTGTACAGCACGGTCTTTAACTGACACCCAACTCTCACATGTGGATCCTCGAAGCTAGGCTCTACCTGGCGGCCACACCCCGGTAGACGTTTTGACCAGTGGGCCAAAGCAGATAAGAGTGATCGGTGTTGAAAGTCTCCACATCCGGTAACGCTGCTTCCTTTTTCCATCACTCCAAAGTGTCCTACGGAGAGGGCGACACACTACGCTGTAGGCGCCCTAGGCCAACTCGGATCACTCTGATACTGGACTCGTGCAATTCGGCAGCCGTCTGGGATGCCTAAACAGCTCTATTTAGAGATAACACCGCTTATCCTCCTGCTTGGAGAAGCGGCTAGAAAAGGTTCCCCAAACAAGTTAAAGATTAATCCTGACAAAACCGAATGTTATAAATGAGTGTCTTGTGCATTTTTTCCAGAAATCGGGATAAGGCGCCATGATTGAGAATCCACCGCAAAACACGTCGTATAGGTAATCACTTCCTTCCCATTACAACCTACACAGATGAGTAAAACTCTGTTCCGTCAATGACTGATATTCTAAGGTATTCAAACTGATTTAAAATCATGTTATCCGCGACTCCAGTGCGTAAGCTGTCCCGTGAGTTTTGACACGCAGTAGATGAAGATCTTTGGCTGAGATAGCAGTCCGAAACCCTTTAAAAATTGTCGTCTTATACACACAAATATACGCAAAAATCTAACGATATCTCTGCATAATCACTGCTCCGGCAGAATTTCGATGCTCTGAAAGTGATCTTCCCAGAAATTCGTACTCTGATTAGTGGAATTCGGGAACAATTAACGCCCTTCCAGTTTCCGTTTTTTGTTGACACTGACAAAATATCTGGTTACGCACTTAGGCGACCTCAGAAGTTCCTTTAATCTTCCCAACCTCAGTCGCACGGACATTGGGAAGAACGTGAGGCGCTTTAGAGTTTCGCAATCTCTGCCAGGACGTCTGTTCCTTCAAAATAGGAAAGCGTTTCCTCATGATAGGCCGACGAAGTCGCACATCTAACTACCAATGATGATGCTCTGCAAGATGAAAGGAATTTTATGTTTAGGGGTAACTCCCTCCCTCCCATCTAAACCTCCCATACATAATTAAAGTTTGCGGGGATCGTACGGGATCTTGCTGTCTCCTTGGTTATGCCAGAGCTGACAAAAAGTCCCACATGCGCAAAAATGCAGTTTGGCGCTGCAACCTGATCCGTTATTTGACATCGGTAGGAAATCTTGCCGAAGGACGCGGGAAAACATGCAAACCAGTCTTTCTCGAGAAAAAAACGGATATTAACTAGTGCGTCCACACCTTCCGCAGAGAAATCCACTGCTGCAGGATCCACAGAAAATGGCATACAAAGAGTCTGAGCTTTTTCATAAAGACGGTTCCTCGGCTGAAAACTATCAAAAAGCATAATCTGAAGTTAATTTATAAACTACAGCATGTTGGATTTTTATTAGATTTCTTTCAAATCACCTTGGGAAAAAATCCCTGTAACAGCAAGATTCATTAAATATTGGCTGAATTTGAAAAAAGGCCATAATTCTGACTAGATATTATATTGTGGGAGGGGTTGAAACACCGAGTAGCGTGCAGAATAATGCCAAAATATTTAATTAGCGCGTAAATACTGACTTTTGCCTCCACAGCCGTTCAACCACCCGCAAAAGTCATGTTTGCCAAAAGTGGCATGAATTGGGACAATTTATTTTGGATGTCCCTATAAATCCAAACACATTCTATGGCGAAAGGTTTCTCTTATATTCTTTTTGTAGCGAATGGCCCATTCCCCAAATTATACACTCATTGAAGGCTTATTTTTCTGTCTTAGGAAGTTTATAATTGAGCACACGAAACGTCTACTCAAGTGGTATTGTATCTACATGCGTCTCCGGGGCATTTAAAACTGTCCGTGTCTACCACATAATTTTAAAAGCGCAATCTGCAACTTTTGATAACAGATAAATGTGCACTTTTAATTAAATAACAAGTATACAATGTGATTGTTTGCTAAAAATTCAAAGACTACTACTTTGGTATTAGAATCGTGTTTTAAAACTGAACGCTGTACCATGTTCGAGCATAGATTTGAGAACGACGTGCATAAATCGCTCGAAATTAAATGTAAGAAAGAATATATTTGGACTCGTAGGGGCATCCAAAACAAACAGACGACATTCACACTACTTTGGTTGTCTTTTTGAAAAGTGTGACTTTTACAGACAACCCGAAAAACTGAGATGCGGAAGCCAGTACTCCGCGGAATGAAGCACCTTGCGACCATGCTGCATGCTAAGAAATTGTTCATCACCATTTACGCAATTTCTTATATACGATATTGTCTTTTAGAATGTTACCCAAAGTTATATGAGACTAGTGAATTATTGCATTTTTCAAATTTTTTTTTGGTGTTCAAGCTAGAACAATGTTAGATGAAAAAACTCACGAGGACAAAAACGGCAAGATCTTATTTAGTAGCCGCACCTGTTAGGGGTTCGAGGTTAGTGTTTGGGGTTAGGGGTTGGAGTTAGGGACTAGGGATAGAGTTGAGGGTTAGGGGTTGGTGTTTTTGGTTTGAGTTAGAGGGTTAGCGTTAAGGGTTAGTTTTAAAGCCCCTATTACCACCAGCCGCGTGTGGCGGGCAGCCGGGGCTTGTCTACTGCAGGTGCGGCTACGAAATAAGATACGACTGAAAACACTTCTCAAAATTATGCTATAGGAAGTTACGCCTTCATAAAATTTTATACTTTGGCAGAGAGCATTTTCTAGCTTCGTTCAGTGTGCAATTAAGAGCAGTTTTCATAAAGATTACTTATAGGGTTTTTCTCAATAGGACAGAGAATATTAACCTCCCTCCTATAAGAGAGGTGGCCGTGCTCTAACTTCCGATAAGCTTACAATTTTCCGTGTCTTTACTCGACCGCCGACCCTTGCCTAAATGTCAACGCTGGCCTTAGCCCTAACTCTAAACTTAACCCTTACCTAACCCCACGCTAACCTTAAACCGAACCCTAAACTTAATTCTGACGCAAGCCTTGATGCCAACGATTCCTTCTTTTGAATTGAATACAAAGTCGCCTGTGTTCTGCGTGAGGTGG